TGGAGAAAGCGGTAGCCTTCATCGCGGACGCATCAGCAGAGACCATCAGACTCTCTGCTAGATCTACAGCGCTCATAAACACGGCAAGGAGGGCTATCTGGCTGAAATCGTGGCAGGGGGATCTGGCCTCCAAATCTAAACTCTGTGGCCTGCCGTTTGAAGGTAAACTCCTTTTCGGCCCGGAGCTGAATTCAGTCCTGGAAAGGTCGGCCGACAGGAAAAAGAGCTTCCCGGTCCCCAGCAGGCAGGTTGGACGGAAGGGGTTTCGCCCATCCAGGCGATACGCGTCAAGGGAAGCTAGGTTCCAAACCCAGCGCCCAGGCTGGGGCGCAAGAAGAGGCAGGAACGAGCCGAGAGGCAGGGGAGGTTTCCTTTTCAACCCCGGCCAGAATAGACCCAAAACCCAGCCGAAGTGACTGGAGAGGCCAGGTGGGAGCGAGACTGGGGCGCTTCCACGCACAATGGCTAAGGATAACCCAGAACACCTACATTCTGGAGGCCATCCACAGGGGGTACAGAATAGAGTTCACAAGGGCCCCCCCTCAGAGATTCTTTGCAACACCCCTGCCAAAGGACAGGGCTATGGCGGATGCGCTGGTGGACCTCCTACAAAATATGCTCAGTCAGAACGTTATCTGCCAGTTGAGAGAAGAGGAAAGGGGAAGTGGATTCTTCTCCCATTTCTTTCTAAGGAAAAAACCGTCAGGTACTTACAGGATGATATTGAATCTGCGGAAGGTGAACGAGTTCGTGAGGCCCAGCAAATTCCGTATGGAATCCATATACACGGTGAAGGAACTCCTTTCACCTGGGGTGTTCATGGCCTCGATAGATCTGCAAGACGCATACCTACATGTCCCGATAAGAGAAGATTCCAGGAGATTCCCTGAGGTTTGCGCTGGAAGGAGAAAAGGGTCCGGTGCTATTTCAGTTCAACACACTCCCCTTCGGCCTGTCGTCGGCCCCGAGGATATTCACCAAGATTTTAGCGGAGCCTTTAAGAGTTTTGAGACTGGAAGGGATAAACATTATCCCCTATTTGGACGACCTGCTTGTATTTGCGGACACAGAGGGAGGCCTGAGATCGCACATCGAACGTACGATATCTTTTCTGGAAAGTTTGGGGTGGCTTATCAACAAGGAGAAGTCACAGCTAACCCCCTCCAAGAGGATTACGTACTTGGGGTACGTCCTGGACTCCGCACAGGCCCGATCGTACCTAACATCAGAAAAAGCCCTCAACCTGCGGCAGGACACAAGGGCCCTCCGAGGATGTCGACCTGCACGGTCAGGACCGCGATGAGAATAATCGGGCGGATGACAGCGGCAATACCAGGGGTGCAATGGGCGCAACTTCACTCCAGGGTGCTGCAAAATCACACCCTTTCCCACTGGGACGGCAGCCGAGCAGGTCTGAGTTCCAGGATCCGCATCACGCACGAAGTGAAGGAATCGCTAAGGTGGTGGGGAAGCAGCCTCACCTTGGAACGAGGAAGAAGTTGGAGGCTGGCCAACCCACTGCGGATCACCACGGATGCAAGCATGACTGGTTGGGGCGCCCATATGGAAGACGGCCTGGCCCAGGGCACGTGGAGTGCAGTAGACTCCAGCAGGTCGTCAAATTACAGGGAGCTGTTGGCAGTTTTCAAGGCACTTACGACCTTTCAGGAAAAGATAAGGGGGAGAGGTGTCCAGATTCTCTCCGACAATACCACTGCAGTGGCGTATTTGAACAGGCAGGGAGGCACAAGGTCCCCAAGGCTGATGGAGTTGGCCGGATCCCTCCTGAGCTGGGCGGAGGAAAACCTGGAGTTCATCACGGCAGTACATCTGAAAGGGGACCTGAACCAGTTGGCGGATCAACTGAGCCGAAGAGAGGTCATCCAGACAGAATGGTGCCTCAGCCAGTCAGCGTTCGATCAGATTTGCGCCAGGTGGGGCTCCCCCTCTATCGATCTATTTGCCAACGGCCAGAACACAAAGCGGGAAAGGTACTTCTGCCTGCAGAAGGACCCCAAAAGCGAGGGGATAGATGCGCTAGCCCAGCAGTGGGAAGGAGACCTCCTTTATGCCTTCCCTCCATTCAGACTACTGCCGAAGGTGATTCAGAAGATCCGGGTGTCTCAAGCCAAAGTTATTCTGATCGCGCCATTCTGGCCCAAGAGATCTTGTTCTCTCCGGTTGAAGGAGCTCAGTTTAGCAGACCCTTGGATGATACCACCCACGCGCGATTTACTCAACCAAGGGAGGGTGATGCATCCTCATCCAGAAAGGCTGTCCTTAGCGGCGTGGCTTCTGAGCGGGACAGGCTAGCGGAAAAGGGGCTCTCGGCAAGAGTGGTCGCCACCCTTTTGGATGGCCGGAAGAGGTCGACGAACGCCTTGTACGACAAGGTCTGGGAAGAAGTTTTCCGCCTGGAAGGTCAGAAACGAAGCACCGGGCACGCCCATTTTGCATACAGTTCTTGAATTCCTTCAAGCCGGGGCGGATAAGAGTCTGGCCGCCAATACCCTCAAAGTACAGGTAGCGGCTCTGTCGAACTTTCTCGAGCTGAGGTTGGCGGCAGACCCATTAGTAATCAGATTCCTGAGGGCTATCTCCAGGCGCCGTGCCCCGTCCTTGCCAAAACTTCCATCATGGGACCTGGGCACAGTCCTGAAGAGCTTTCAGCGGGGGCCTTTCGAACCGCTGGATGAATGTTCGCTCAGATCTTTGACTCTTAAAACCATCCTCCTCACGGCACTAGTTTCTGCCCGCAGGGTCAGCGAGTTGCATGCCCTTTCAGTGATCGAGCCGTACTGCACCATCTTATTGGATAGAATCATCCTCCGCACGGACGCGGCCTTCCTACCTAAGTCCTACCTAAGGTCGCGTCACACTTCCATAGATCTCAGGAAATAGTAATACCTTCCCTGGAGGCCGATCCGGGCAGCGCGGAGGACTGTAGCAGGTTAGACGTAAGACGGTGTTTGATCACGTACATCGAACGCACAAAGACATGGAGACGCTCGTCCCGGCTTTTCGTCCTATTCCAGGGACCAAGGAAGGGGGACGGTGCCTCCAAGGGCACCATCGCCAGATGGATCAGAGAGGCAGTTTCGGAAGGTTACAAGTCGGCAGGCCTGTCACCACCCGCCCGGCCTAAAAGCCCACTCCACAAGGGCCACTGCGGCCTCCTGGGCGGAAAAAGGGGGGGCCTCCCCCGGACAGATCTGCAGAGCCGCGACGTGGTCCAGTTTCGCCACCTTCACTAAACATTACAGGCTGGATCTGATCGGCAGCAAGGACCAGGCATTTGGCAGGAAGGTCCTACAAGCAGGGTGCCCGCCCTAATGTACGTATTTCTATTCTACTCCTCTCAAGTGAGCTGTCCTAGAAGATGACTCGGGAAAACGCAGTTATTTACCTGTTAACTGTATTTCCAGGAATCTTCTAGGACAGCGTAACTCCCCCCCGATTACTGTTTGATCACACGATTATGTGCAGGTATGTTGCGAACCTATGGGGGATATCTTTATTACTGGTTTTCTTCTTTGTTTTTCTCCTAGGCCTTCGGTCATATTCTTATACTGGGGGCCAATGGGAGAGAGGACGCCTATAAAGGGGAAAAAAAAGGTGGAGCGGGTGTTTCCTGGGAGGAGCCCTATCTCTCAAGTGAGCTGTCCTAGAAGATTCCTGGAAATACAGTTAACAGGTAAATAACTGCGTCTCTCCTCTCTCTCTCTCTCTCTCTCTCTCTCTCTCTCTCTCTCTCTCTCTCTGTCTCTCTCTCTCTCGGAGATAGATACATCGTATCTCTCTAACTCCTGGCATAGAGGGGGAAAAAATGTTTGGAAAAAAAAAAAAGATAAATATTAAAAAATACCTAGATCAAGGTTTGATCTAGTTCAGTGCCAGGGTTAGGATTTGGGCCAGGGTCAAAGGTCAGGATTTAAATAAAATAAATAAAATTGGTATCAGTTAGTGTCAATGTCAGTGTTTTAGGTAAAAAAAAAAAGACAAAAACAAAATGTGCACTATTGTTTCTGGGCTGTACTATGGGTACAAACAACAAATAACATACACATATATGGTATCGCTGCGATCGTCGAGTGCTGGAGGATTTTATTTTGGGTTGTTCTTTGGTGGTAGATTATGGTAGTAACAAGAAACACACAGCTAAATAAAAAAAAAAAAAATTTTTTTTTTTTTTTTTGTTATTTTGTGCCAGTTTTCCTTTGATAATAATAATAAAAAAAAGAAAAATCAGGAGATATCCATTACCATTCACCACCAAATGAAAGCCCAATTTATCCTGAAAAAAAACAAAGTATAATTTACCTGGATGAACAAAGTAGTTGTGGTGATATGTACAGTTTTACTAACACATGTCAATGGCGCAAAATTGTGCTTGGGCATTTAGATTTGTTTTACCCTTAGGCGTGAAGGGGTTAAACACTAATGGTGCTAGAGGAAAAAAGTAAGTTAACCTACAGACTAAATACTTCAGCAAAAGCCAATTGGAGTCAATAGTTTGCCTGGGCACCTTGGCAAACCGCAGTGCTACTGGGAAAATGTTTTTGTGGACTGATGAAATAAAAGTTAAATTGTTGGCGAAGGAAACTCAGCAATATGTGATGTAACTCCAAAAAGAAGACGCTTGCGAACATCAAAACATTATATCCCAATGGTGAAGTATGGTGGAGGGAACTCTATAAACCCCTTCGCTTAAATCTTGTATAATCTTTGATGTGTTTAATGTCATTGCAAAATATTTTATATTTTTAAAGCTACAGCTTTTATTAAAAAATTACCTGGTATTACTGCCATAAAGAACTTGTTTAGGCATTTATTATTATGGGATGACAATGCCTCTGTCTCTTACTCTTCAGTGTTGTCACATGTTCTAGCAGTGGAAAATATAAGCAGCCATGCGGATGCTTATTGTGCTTTGAAAGGAGGTGAATCTAAATAAGTGTGCTTGAAGTCTTGTCTCTTTTTTTTTTTTTTTTTTTTTGTAGGTAATACAGCTTCTGGTTTGTGATCTCTTACTGTCCATGCGAACCTCTTTATGGCAGAAACAGGCATCTGGGGAAGCAATTCATGCCTCCAAATCAGTGCTCACAGGATTCCAGAGGGATCTCAGCAGCCTTCGTAGGCTTGCTCTTACCTTTAAACCTGCTCAATGCAAGGTAAGTTGTATTATTTAGGAGAATATGAATAAACTGTACAGGTCTGGGGCAGCCCTGTGTGTGTGTGTGTGTGTGTGTGTGTGTGTGTGTATGTATAATATATATATATATATATATATATATATATATATATATATATATATATATATATATAAATATAAAATCATCCTTTCCTGTGGCCCATGTCTACAAACATTTCTGCTTCACGAAATAAAGGGGGGTGGACTCGTGCGCTGCCAAAGATATAAAAATGAAGACTAGAGTGGATGAAACATAAGTAGATTTGGTGGTGTAGCGTTAATTCCATGTGATTGACATAAAAAATTAATAAAGGACTTGATATTAAATGGGTGAATACACAAATTATATGAATAAATATATAGGTGTACAGTGGTGCACCCAAGGTGTATCCCAAAAACATGCCATTAAGAATGTGACTAAATATAAGTGATAGGTGATTTAAGTGAAACAAATATAAACCAAATATAAATACATGTGATCATAAATCAACAATATACATAAATCATATAGCACAAAGTCCCAAACGTATAACTGTGATGAATCAATCTTCAACCGTGAAAATTAATACATGCTCAAGTACATCAGACCATCTGTCACCGTCTAGCGTGCACACTTGCCTCCAATCTTTGACCTTCAAGGAGTCATAAGGTATAACAAATCACCAGTTAGTCCCAGGTGGGATGAATCTCACTCTCTGGATGGACACAGGATCAGCTTCCACACAGCTCACGGTTAATCGACCATTACAGTGGTAAAGCACCTTTACAAAATTCCTCCACTTTCCCAATGGCTCGTAAACCGGGAATCCGAGAAAAAGCCATAGTGTAATAGAGTAAAGTTTATTATACCATACACAAATGCCAAAGACTTACTCACACATTAAAATTGGGTCATAGACCCACCAGGCATGAACTGTATAACCCACAGTCAGGGTGCTTGCATAGGGAATCCAAAGATGGCTGCCGTCGGTACGTAATTGTATCACCATGCTGCTCTAGAGCTATCTTTGAATTCCCTATGCAAGCACCCTGACTGAATGCAAGATACCACAAAGGATCCCAATCACTCTAAATTGCATTATTGGTATTTTATTTTTTGTTAAAATGGTAAAAAATAATCACACTGTAAGAATGTTTGTTTCACCTTTACCAGTCTTGCAGCATGCAGAAAAATATACCGGCGCTTCTTGCATGGTGGAATAACAGTCAGGGCTGAGGGAGGAAGGCATTTTCTGTATTAAAAATCCACATCAAAGCAGGGCTTGGGAGGCAGGCATAACTGCACATTATAGACTTGACCAAGTGGGATTGAATGCTAATTGCTACCCAGTCTCGCCCAACATTAAAGTGTTACTAAACCCACAACCGTAAAATAAGTCTGTATATGCGGTAAAGCATGCTTGTTCTGCTCACTGTGGAACCTAAGGGGTTAATCCTCCACATTGTGTAAAAAGGATGTTTGATCCTGACTTCTCTGACCCTCCCCTTCTTCCATTGTCTCTTAAATATCTCCTAATAGGCTTGGGGCAAGTAGCACATGCTCAGTTTGATGTGTATTGCTAGAGAGGTTTTTTGTTCTTGCGAGAGTGCATGTGATCAGCACAGGGCCAATCAGCACTCTCCAGACAGAGGTCAGATGTCCTGCATCCTTTTACAGGACAATGGAAAAACTCCTACAAGCTGTAACTAGTGCTTAGCTGTACACTGATAGAAATCATGAGACTGCTCTAACTGCTGATGAGAAAAGGTATTTAGCAGTTTATATTTACTAAAATAATTGCATTTCCATATTCTGTGTATTGTGGGAGACCAGCTATAGTGAATGCAAGGTCATGGGTTTAGTAACACTGTAACCGTAGGGTTGTTTTGACACAATCTCTGTAGTCTCAATGACTATAGAAGGGGAGTCAAAACAACACTGTTTCAGTAGGATGTGGCTGTCTGATACTAAAGCAGCCCATAGATGGATCCGTTTGTTCAATCAGCAGCATAAGCCCACTGAAATGACTAGCCCTCTGACATCACACACTTCATAGCAGTGAGCTGAGTGTAGTCTGAGACCTGAGTGTAGGAAATGGACACACCACCCTCTACACAGCCTCACTGGAAAACGTGCACATGATCATCTCATTGAGGTTGCATTGGGGGGGTGCAGTTTGTCACAATGGATTTCCTGCTGTTGAGGAAAACTGCCAGAAGTGACACATGCAGATTGAAGAGAAAGGAGAGAGCAGCCAGGAGCCCCACTAGGTCCTTTGGATTGAGATAGGTACACACTATATGAGGATATGCTTTGTTCATTTTGCATTTCAAAGGTTTACAAAAAATGTTGGATTTCTGCCTAAAGAATAAAATAACTCAATTACACATTTTTTAATCCTAGTTGTTCCTACATGAAGCTACAGTTAGACTGATGGCTGGTGCAAGTCCAACCCGCACACATCAGCTTTTGCAACACAGCTTGCAGAAACGTCCTCCAAACATCAGCAAGCCCGGTAAGTTTGAACAGTACTATTTTTTAGTGGCAGCTTTACAGGAGTGCTAATACAGCTGATATTGTTCATAAAAGATGCAGATAAACCTTTTGTATAAAAGGCTCAATCACAGGCATCTAAAATGCTGCATTTAGACGTACTGCCCACGCATCTAAATGTAGCACTACAGAAATCATAGGGCCGTACACACAAATATCTCTACAAAAGAAAATTGTGCACTGCTGTACAAAAACATAGGACATGGCTGTTTATCCGGGGCTTTACACATCTGAAGATTTTACTCGTGTACACATGTTAACATGTATGGCCGTGTCTAAATACGTGTAAATGTGTAAAGTCGTTAGAAGAACTGTACTCTCTTGACGCAAGTACTTTAGGCATGTATTATGCGCAGGATCTTCTGCTAGATCTGCCGGCAAAACTTGCGTTCTATGCTGAAAGTATGCATATACAAAAGGCGGGTGAATAAAGGCAAAAGGAAAAGGATCTGGTTCTTTGTAACAGCCAGTCTGGCTCTCTATTCATGTTTTTACCTGCATTAGGGAATTGACAGTTTTTGTTTGTTGATTGTGCTGACAAGAAGGGTCATTTGTATTGATGCTACTTCATCAGCCGTGCAGAAACTGAGATTGTTTTCCTAAAGTTCATAGATAAGGAATAACTTATGATATTTTATCGTCCCACCTTCCTCATGTCGTCTGGATTTTTACAAAGTGCAAGCAGAATTTATTTGCAGGACTTGAGTCACAAGTTTGTTCTGCGATGCTCATGCTCTGTTAACATTTTTCTGTCAATTCTGCTGTTTGTCACCATGATGTCCAGAGACCTAATATTTCCAGAGGAGCTTTGCAGTGGCAGCCTCCATATGTCTTACTATAGCTTTGACATTACTAATGTTTACATTTTGGAGTGGAAGGGGTTATACTGGTTGGTCACTGTTGTGTTTTTTTTGTCTAGGTCCTACTATAGGTAGCAGTATAACCCAGTTGTCTTTTAACTCTGTCCCTCAATGAACTGATGATTATTATTATTATTCAGGATTTATATAGCGCCAACAGTTTGCTCAGCGCTTTACAATATAAAGGAAGACAATACAGCAACAATACAGTTCAATAGAAGAGAGATAGGAGGGCCCTGCTCCTTGGAGCTTACAATCTAGGAGATTTAGTAGGTAGGATTTAGTTCTCACAGCCGCTGCAAGCAGAAAACAATGACAGTCAGTTTGCTCTGCCCCCCTTCACCCTATGCTCACTGGAGCTCTGGGCTGTGGAGGGGGAGAGAGTGGCTGGCTCAGGCGCTCAGTGGATTGCTGAGAGGCTGAGCCAGGTGCCGCTGCAGACTCTGGGGTGGACCTTTCCCCAGCCTGGACCAGCTGGGTAATGTCAGCGGACAGCAGGCTTTAGCCCAGTGTTTGCTGAAAACGGGTCACAGGAGTGCAGAACGGAGTGGAAACAGGTCACAGGAGTGCAGAAGGGACTGTACTCCTGTGATCCACAGGAGACGTACAGCCAAATGAGCTTTGGCTGTACTTCCCCTTTAATGTATCACAGGACATAAAAGTAGAGGGTAGTCAATCCTGATGGTAGTCAACTAAGTTATTTGTTAGCAGCCTATGAGTCACTGCTTTTAGTTATGGGCACAGATGCAATCACCTTGAGATATATTTCCTAGACATTTCACGTTATTTCTTAAAAGGGTGTGTCAGTAAAGATGAACATTCTTTTAAATTAAAGGTTTGCTAATGTTTTCCTGTTTTTTGTTTTAACCAGGGGATATGTACTCTTTACCAGGACAGAGAGAACGAGCAACTGCCATCTTGTTGGCCTGTCGGCACCTGCCCCTATCGTTTTTATCCTCCCCCAGGACAGAGAGCAGTGATGTTGGCTGAAGCAGCACGGACTTTGGAAAAAGTGGGCGACAGGCGCTCATATCATGACTGTCAGCAAATGATGGTCAAGCTTAGTGGGGGCACCGCTATGGCAGCGTCTTGAGAGACGCACTGTTTACCCTCAGTCTGGCCTCATATTTCTCATCTTCTTTCAGGAATATACTCAGTCTTTTATTGATATTTATCAGATGTGTGGGGATTTAAAAACAAAATTGAAGCTGAGAATAAATTCAGTGATATTGAAGTATGGGCCTATCATCTGGACTGGAATTAAAAGGGATGTTTAGTATTTTTAGATACTTCAGTCATGCAGGTCTTTGTACCGAGAATGACATAATTGTGCAGTGAATATACCTTCCAGATTATATACTGTACATTAATATTTTTTTTTGTATTTAAACATTCAAAGGCATCATGGACTATTTGTTTTAATTGATTTCAGTGGGAATTTTTAAAGTCTCATTCAAAGCAGAGACACAGTAGTTGTAATGACCTAGAAAACTCTCTTGTCAAATCTAGAGAATGCAAAGCTGTTCCTTGTAAAAAGTTTTCTCCTTGTAGAAATCTGTTTTTACTCATTGACAGTGATGTGGTATCCCAAAGTTTGCTGATAGATGCTTTTACCATACATTCTGTACCTTTTTATGTCTAAAACATGAGTTTTGCATCATGTTGGACCAAAACTTCATCATTCAGTCCAGTACGTTTTATCATTACATACATTTATGCCAGGATTTTATCATCACTTGGAGAAAATACCATTGCAGAGTGCATGGCACTTTCATAGCTCAGGAAACCAGTGGGCTTATTTATTAGAGCAGTGCAAAGCGCAATCATGATGTATCAAGGTCATTCGCTCATATCAGGTGAAAGAGGAATTCTGATTGGCTGTTATGAATGGCTGTTCTTTGCACATCATTATTTTTGCCTTATTGAATAATCACAAAGATGCTGTACAGAAGTTTATGTACACACAATTTTCTTTCATAGAAAATGGAAGTTCAGCCACTTCCCATATGTCATTATTATTATTATTATTATTATTATATACTTTGAGATGTAGCAATGTGATTGGGACACAACTTATTAGCAGAATTAATGGCAGTTTAGCACAGCAATATATTTTTTTTAGTAAGGTCATTGTTCTGGCATGAATTGTCCGGTAACAAAAGAGAGTGGTAAAGCTAGCCATAGATGGATTGAATTTTGGGCAGTTCATCAGGGCAGGCTAGTTATACTGAAGTCCATCCATCGATCGACTTCAGTACAACCAGACAGTCTGATTTTTTGCATGTGATCACTGCTGGTGGCTATAGCTGCTAGCAGTGATCATTGTATTGTGGAGCCTTCCATGCCAGCAGAACACAATAGCGCTGTGGGAGTGATTCCCCCATCAACACTGGGTGTGTTGATGGCTGAATGCAGCAATTTTTTTTTCCTTCCACCCTTGGTGGAAGGAAAGAAAATTGTGACCTCTATGGCTTGCTTAAGAACCTTGTCATGCTCTGAACTTTTGGTATGAGATATAGGCAAAAGCTGCGAGATCAACCAATAGCTACTGTACTCTCACTTACTAGGCAAATAAGAACACGGATAGCCCAGAAAAGGTTGATAACAATATCACACCTAGTATTTACCTATCAGTGACCAAATAATAAGTATATATGAAAAATGAATGCACTCATCCCTAGATAGCTATCCATTTGTACTCTTTTGGGAACATTTACATGAAGGTTATAAGTAGAACAGGAGCATTGCACACGCAAGCTGAAGCTTGTAACTTCTATTGTAAATTTCCCTTCTAGTGGTTAGAATTATCACTGCACCATGGTGACTTGTGCCTTTTACTAGGTCTAAGAAATGCATCTGTTAGAACTGAAGAAGTCAGAAATGGTTTTGACATTTTGTACAAATATATACAGAAATGTTTATTTTTGGCATGACGTTTCCTAATATATTTTGCCTATTTGTACCTAACTTATCCATAACTTATCAGTGATTTTATTTGTCATTTTTTGGAGAGGGACAGGCATTCATTTCTATTTTCAGATTTACAGTTTTATTTAATGGTTTTAATATATATAATATAACATACCTTTATTGATTTAGTGGTATTATGTAATTTATACATTGATTCTTACAGTTTAGCATTTATTTTCAACTGGCTTCAACTTCATGACATTGTGATTATATTTCAGTTTTGGACTGTTGTTTCTGGAGATATCCATTCATGAGCTCACACAGCCTCCCCTCTGTCCCCCACCAACTACTTGTTCTCACTTGATGCATTGGCATGAATTTTGCTCTGTTTTTAAATATAGGTCAAATGTATTATTTTATTTTTTATTTATTACAGGTACTTATATAGTGCCATCAATTTACGTAACGCAAAAAAAAAAAAATATATATATATATATATAATTACATTCATATCATTCCCTAACCCTCAAGGGGTGGGGCGTACAATCTAAGGTCCCTAACATACATTCATACATACACATACTAGGAATACCAAATTAAAAAAGAAAAAAGCGCCACTTACAAAAAACACCAAATTGTCAGCAGCATATCCCACCCAAAATAAATTTTGGCAACAATAATCCTAATTTAAAAGGTATGCGCTAATAACAAATTTATACAAAAGTGTATATCATCATCCAAAAAACATTAGTGTTTTAAATAAATAATTATAGTGTCCAAACATAAATTAGTGTCCAAAAAATATATATATATCTTCAGTGACTTGAACCAATTGTGAAAAATCCACCACCAAAGGAGATTAAATGAACTCACCAGAGCTAATGGCTGGTCAGATTATAAACCAGCAACAGCGCTTGTGCTCTGGGAGCAATGAACCCGATGTCCAAATAGATATGGTGATGTTTCAGACACTTCTGGATAATAATAATAATCACAGACAAACAACTTTGCAGCCCAAGCTCTTATGATGAACTTCTCCACTCTTTCTCATACCTCCATGAGAGCATGCAGTACACTCAGGGACAAAAAAGAGAACATAATGGTGCAATACGGTTTTTTCATTTATCTCTTTAATAAAAAAGGTATAAGGAAACTCACAAACAAGATGTCCAACAGACACCAGCTTCAATCGCAAAAAAGGGTTGAGATACAGTTAACGCTCACCGTGGATCTCTGCCATACAGCACAGAACAGCAAGGCTCTCTAATGTCCACATCGAGTAGGCCACGCCCAACCGGTACCGCCCCTTGATGACGTCGGTGTGACGAAACCGGTTTGGATGATGATATACACCTTTGTATAAGTTTGTTATTAGCGCATACCTTTTAATTAAGAATACACACACTAGGGCCAATTTAGACAGGATCTAATTAACCTACCAGTATGTCTTTGGAGTGGGGGAGGAAACCCATTCGGGCACAGGGAAAACATGTAAATTCCAGGCAGGTGGTGCCATGGTTGGGATTTGAACCAACGACCCTAGTACTGCCAGGCAGAGTGCTAACCATTTAGCCACTAAATACACATGAGAAAATGCAATATTTCATGTAGAAGCCATTCTCACAGATCGTATTGCTTCATCTTGGGTTCATTAAAACTAGTGTCACATTTATGCCAATTAATTGGAAGCCCTAAAATGTGTCACGGCACACTGAAATTGCATGAAAATGTGCCTGAATCCATATGATTTCAAGTGTGCCTGGTGAGAATAAGCCCTTAATGGCTGGAGTCTGGGATTTATTAGCAATATATTTGGTATCCGATGTAGGACTAGATAGTTCAGTTTACTGTTTCATCATAAAACGTTTTGCCTCCTAAATATTTTCTTAAGTCATTAGAGAGGGGATGAGCGTGTGTACTTCAAGCTAAATTCACACTAGTGTTACATAAGCATTTTTCGTGGGTTTTTGTTGCACATTTGTGATGCATTTCTTTTGTAAGATGAGATTGGTTGTCAAACACAAAACTTTGCCAAAATACATGTGTTTTTTTCATGTGCTTTTCATACGCTACAATTGAAGTCTGTAGGGCCAGAAACACACTATGGTGAACCAAATGTACATTACCTGCACCTTCTCAAATAATTGCACTGCACCAGGTTGCATTGATGAGATTGAGAATAATGTGATTTCCATTGTTGTGCATCACAGCACAACAGCAGATGCAGAAGAAACCAAACTAGTGTGAACCAGGCCTTAGAGAGCAAATCCTATTGTCTTTTGGCACAGTGATTGTGTTAAAAAAAAAAATTATGCTTTTTAAAGTTTGTGTGGACTTTTTTTTTTTTTTCTTATTTACACACTGAGCATATCTTTGTGTGCACATAATCAGCCTTGTTTAATTAAAGCAGAGTTCCAGTTACACTGAAAAAAAAAAATGGGTCAGCAGCTACAAAAACTGTAGCTGCTGAACTTTAAAAACCAGCCACTCACCTGTCCCTTGATCCGCAGTGTCCTCCCCGCAGCCCATTTCACCAACCGTCCAGTGTGCCCGGTGTCTTTAGTGTGGGCACCCGGCTGTGACAGCTTGCAGCTTCACAGCCGGGTGCCCACCGCACATGCTCAAGTAGTGCTGCGCTTTCTCAATGGTCCTGTAGTCTTCTGGGACCTGTCACATGTCCCAGAAGACTATAGGGAGGGACAGGGGAGGACAACTTCCACGTCCGATAGCCTAAGCAATCGCAGCAGAAGTTGGAGCAGGTACCTGTCAATTTCGGGTACCCTCACCCTCCTGCTCCCCAAAAAGGTGCCACACCTTAATAGGGAGTGGGGGACCAGTCTTTAAAGCAGAACTTCCCTTTTTGGGTGGAGCTCCGCTTTAAGGATTACATTAGTGGCAGTAACAGATTTGCTACTAACTTAAAAATGGCCATAACAAGACACAGAAAAATTTGCTGTATTGTAGTTTGCAGCTCTTGCTCAGCTATTGCACTACTGCTTAAACTGTTTGTAATGAATTGGAATTCCAGATCCAAGAATCATTTTGCAGTTTCACTACTGAATCCTCAAACTAGTAAACTGGACTGTCCAAGTCGAAGTTCCTTTTAAGAAAAAATGAATGACCCATCCCTCCTTCCCCCGATTACCACTGCACTTACCTTCATGGTTTCATACAGTTTCACCA